TCAGCAGGACTTAGTCCAAACTCAGAGATCAGAACCTCAGCGTGCTTTGCACACATACAGAGTGAGAGTCAGCACAGGAAGGATTGCTATCACACAGTTTTACAAGCACTCATTCCTACTACTAAACTAAGTAGGAATATGATCTTCAAAGGTATTTATTCCCCCAATCTGTTTATAACAAGGTGTTTGCTGCAGTGAGAGAGATGACCAGAAAATGAAACGGACTAAACAAAAGTGAAACTGGTGTCAGGGCTATGAAGGGGGTGAGGTATGGAAAGGGAATGAATCAGAGCTTGGTTAGGAAAAGAGTGCGAGCAGATTTTTATTTTTAAACTATCTTGCAAGTTAATAATTACACAAATTAAGAATTTGTCTTATTGATATGATTGAAGGATACTCATCCACATTCACCCCTTCTCATCCGTAAATCTCAAACCATTGTAACTAACATAGGGGATAAATATTAGCCACACATTACAGATATGAAAGTCTGGCAGAGAGAGTAGATGGGACATACCAAAAATTGCATAAGAGGGCAGGAACACTCCTGCCCCCCAGAACAGAATTTAAGCCTTCTGACTCCAAACCTGATCTCTACTCTGTCATCCACATCATCTCCCTCATTACCTCATATTATTAAACGCAGAGGGGGCACATCTCCACATGCAGGGTCATGCGCTTGCAGTGACAAAAATGTACTTTTTGGTGCTGTGCACACCCATGCACATGTGCTTTGGTGCGGGGCAAAATTCCCTGCTTCAGGGAAACTGCCATTTCCCCACTCCTCCCGGTTCCTGGTGTGCTGGAGGAGCTGGGGCAGAACTAGAGGAGGGGAGACACTTTGGCTGGCAGCCAGTATCTCCCAGGAGGAGCGAGCTTCTGTGTCTGCCAACTCAGGTTCCTGCGGCCAGGGCCGTCCTGTTGAGGGAGGGGGGTGAATTGTGGCGACCAGCCCAGGCCCTGCACTTTGGGGGCTCTGCAAAGACACTCACCCCCCCACCCCACTGCTGAATCCACCGCTGGCTTCTTCACATCTGGGCATGCAAGGTCGTGGCTCTGTACAGGCTGATTTGCCCCAGACCCCTCACCCTGCTTGGGTCACTCTGTCTGTAGCATGCGCCATACCACTTTTTCCATGGTGATTTTTTTGGTACTGGAATTTACCAGTAGGAAATTTTGATCCCACGCTGCAAATTTGCAGGACAGGGCATGTTTTAATGAGCCAGGCACACAGTTTGTGGCACAGCAAAGAGGTTTGCAATGCCACAAACCACATGTGCCTGCACATTTGGATCCAGCCAGGGGATCCCTTTAACTATATGGGTTTGTACCTCAAAGAGAGATTTCCTTCAGTTTTGAAGCTCAAAAAAAGAATATGTTGAAATTGTTAATATTTTTAAAGGAAACCTTTCCAAAAAAACCCCTGTGGCCACTACCAACATGTACTGACTGACAATGTGTCTACTGAACTTGTGTAAATGATGAAAAGTTTATAGTGATTCAGACCCACAGCATTTTGAACACGGTTTCTCAATAGGACTTTGATGTAAAACATTGCAGAAAGGCCCAATTTCAAGCCTTTTGAAACAGAAAAGACATTTCTTCATTGCTCCATTGTAAGTCACCTGGGTCCTAAAGAAGGGGGTTGAGATCCAGATGCTGACTTATCTGAACCAGTTCTGTCATTCCCTAATAGAAACTCTTCATCAACAACTACTTTATGGGCTGGTCTCCTGTTTTTTCTGCCCACTGTAGAAGGCCTAGCCAGGACCTTTCCAGTTCTACAAGGAACATGCTCAAGTCTTTGCAAGATCAGCAAAGCCTTAAGTGTGCTGTGAAAAATTAATGCCTCATCAGGAAGTTCATGGTAATGAAAGGCCATAGTCTACTTATATTCCAGTTTGCAACAGTGCCCATTACCGTACCAGCTGGATGCCTCTCAGGTAAATTAGATTGGCACAGTGATTCAATAGCACAGTCCTTCATGGTATGAAAATTGACCAAAGATTAGCATGTTTCCAATCACCATCTGGCTCCTACTTACAACCAGTTGGGAAAAATAAAGCAATTCTAATCTCTTTCCAGGCATGTGTGTGTGTTTGCCTGTAAAGGAAAGTGATGCAATAATTCTAATCAGTTTCCATATGTGTAAAAAGAAAGTAATTCTCACAGCTTTAATCAAAGTTGCATGTGGGTGCGAAAGAGAAGAGGCAGTATGCTGTCAGTTATCACTGGGTTCCTTGAATTCCAGGGTGACAATTCAATTCTCTTTCTCCTGAAAAGACCCCCTCGTTTTAAGTTAATTTAAAATGTCAAGAAAACACCTCTCTGTTTTAAAAAGAAAAAAAACCCCAAAGATCTTTAGCTCTATCTTTGGTGTTGTTGAAACCTACTTTCCGCATCTTCAAAGTGTGATATGGGAACTCAGAAGAG